CACACCAAGAACCTGCAGATTCAAAATGGATTCAATGAAGTGTTTAGGAAGAAGTTGAATTTGGATAAACTGAACTATTCAAGTGTAGTAGAGGATAAAGAGGTTCGTAACATACCACTATGCGATGATAGTACAGAAATAGTAGAAGACAATAGTAGGAAGAGGAATGTGGTATACTGTGCTATTGGATTTACACTTATTGTAGCATACATAGTGGTGGTACTGTTTTACAACATCATAATGAGCAGAAAGAATGATGATAAAGAAGGGTTCTAGGAGATAGTAAGGTAAGTAGAGGGGTAAAACGGCTCAGGTGTCTGCATTCTTTTTGTTACTGTTACAAACTGAAGTTTTTACACTACCATCTTGGGTTTAACTCCTTCACTAAGAAAAAACCCAAGACCTAATTTGACGTACACGCATAATCAGGTATATTCTAACATGATGTCGTAGCACGACCGTTATTCATCAACACCAAGACTGATCTGAAATTCCTGAGTAAAAGGAAAAATTTAAATAAAACCCATCGATGTATAAATCATTTTCAAGTTCATCTCCAGTTCCGAGCAACTTGAGCTCAAACTCACAGAATATCATGGTACCGCATAAGCTAGTCTTTAAGGCTAAGCTCAAAGACATTAATCTAGAAGACCAACCAACAATGGAAGTACATCAATTTGTCAACAGTAGATCACTCCTCCTTACGCATGGCTTAAGTCTTTTCAGAAGGCGCAGGCCATGTATCAATGGACGGACACTGCCACTCTCTCCATTTTTTCCGCACCACTCCAACACATCACCATTTGTACTGATCACAACAACCTCCTGTTCTTGCAATCGTTTACGTTACAGCGAGTTCAACGCTGGAAACAGCTGATATCAGAATACAACCTGGAGATAAAGCACATTAAATGTAAAAACAATCACCTTACAGATGCACTCTCCCGATCATTCCACATCCAAACACATGAACCTTCCTCCATATAAGACCTATTTACAATCGTTGAAGAATATGGTTGGGTTTGTTGTAAGATGCACTAGAACGTTTCATTCAGAGTTAAGTATTTATGTTTTGTTTTTTTATATCCTTAATATGAAACGCATATTTCAACTATGTTTTGGATTATCATATCGAACATTTCTTGTCATTTTCTTTCTTGATATTTGGACAACCTGGTCTGTAATGTTTGCCTCCGCATTCGTAACATTTCGCTGACTTCGCGTTCGAATGTCTCTGATCTTTTTCCAATCATTCTTGATCTGAAAATCTGCTTCTTTCTGATTTGAAGTCTTTGTTCTAGGTTCGTACCTTTGTTGTGTCTTTTTCTGTATCTCCTTAATAGACTTGACACCATTTTCTTCGGCTTTGTCAGCCATCTCCAGAAGATTTCTGCAACTATCAAAGAGACCATGATGTCTCTTGTTGATCTGATTAAAGATCACTGATCTGAACATCTCTTGATCAAAGTCCGCAACTTTGTTTTTCCACTCGATTAACAAAATCCAGTCACTGAGGGATTTGTGTGGTCCTTCACTTAAGATCCTCATGAGATTAAGTGCTTCGGCATTCTCCTCTTTCTGGTTGCAGTACCTTGATTTAAATCTAGTTTTGAAATCAGAGACTGTTTTGATCTCATCACCCTCCCGGGCTCTACACCAAATTTTTACCCTCCCTTTTAGTAAAACAGTGATCTGTTTCAGATACCGCACATCGCTCCACTCGTCTTCATAGACGATAAGTGCTTCGAGCCACTCCATGTCTTCCTTGCCTTTTCTGTTTCCATCAAATTCTTTTATATCTTAGATATACTTCTTAAGGCCCTGTAAAATCTTTGTCCCGCTGATCTTTTTCCTCAATGTTGCTGTTACAAACTGAAGTTTTAAGATTACCCATCATGGATTTTGTGGTAAAAGGGTCATGAGACCTGTCACTCATATCAATCTTTGAGCAAAATTTACCCCAAGTATGGGATATAGGAAAGATGAAGAGAGAGACAGACGGACTAATCAGTATAAGCAATACATGACAAGTCCCTACCAGATGCCAAGAGGAGATGGGAACAGACACAGTCATTATAATAAAGAAGTGACAGCGTTTGACCCGTTTTACCTCATGTTGAATTCAACGAGGAGAACAAACGAGGACAAACCGAGAATCATGAGAGAGACAATACAATATCCAGTGTATCGTGGAGAGCGTCAGATCAGCCAGATGAGCATGGAACGCTACACAGATCACACACGGCAAGACATACTTGAATGGTGTAAACGCGCTCGGCCCCTTCTCAGAAGATGCTTTGAGGAAGAAGGAGATGCACGAATGGAACTAGAAGTACTCATAGATCCGCGCTACCACCACTTATTCGAAAGGTGCACACAAGTAGAGAAATGCTTGGACAGAATGATAGGATACACCTACAATCAGCACACTTTCGCCAAACTTCTAAGGAGATTAGAAGACATGCGATGCAGCAGTTTTTACGACATCCAAGAGTATCGAGAAGAACATCTTAGGATCATTGAACGGTGTGACGCTTGCATCAGCGCCCCGAGAAAGCTCAGCGATTACGAAAAGGAAGAACTATTCGTAGGAGGGCTTACGACCTGGATGCGTGACGAATGGATACGCGCAGGAAACCAAGACATGGAGGTGAAAATAGGAATTATTGCCCAATTAGAAAGACATCGAGCAAAAGGATTCGAGCAAAAGGGTACCACCTACAAAGAGGTGAAGAAATACTGTCCCAAACACAAGTCCTATACACATTCAGCACGGGAGTGCTTTAGTGAAGGATGCGGTCGGACACAAGGACATGCTGACAAAGACAAAAGCAGCAGCCAATCCCAGAATAAGGAAAAGCGGAATAGCAAGGAAACCTTAGGGATGATACTCGAGAGAAGGACAGAGTGCCGGAAACTTGAAGTAATGGGAAACCATAACGGTCAGGAACTGAGGATAGTTCTAGACACGGGAACACGGTTATCATACATTAACCGAGACGTAAAGGAAAGAATGAAACTAGAAGGAAAACCAAGAGAAGGCTTAATACATATGGCCAATGGTAAAGAAGAAACCATAAAAGAAGGCGTTGACATACGCTTAAGCTTTACTGAAGTACCACATACAGAGTACAAGGTAAAAGCACTCGTGATGCACAATTTATTCGGAGAACTAGTACTAGGACTCGATTTCATGTGCAATAACGAAGTTCGAATGGACTTAAAGAACGGCATAGTAGTACTAGACGGATACGAGCTAGACATACTAGAGTTCCGTAAGGGAACGGAGGCCAGTCCAGAGGACTTACTTGTCGATCGTTTAGGAGGGATCGAACAAGAAGAAACCCTTGATTCAATAGTAGAGGAATTCAAAGGAAAAAATCCAGCAGTTGGATTATTTAGTGGGGTTGAACACAAGATACAACTCCCCACAACAACTCCTATACAGTGCAAACCATACCCGTTACCATACAGGGTAGAAGAAGAACTGAAACAGCAAGTAGAAGAACTAATAAGACTTGGAATAGTTGAGAAAAGTACTGGAAAGTACGCCAGCCCAAGTTTTGCAGTAGTCAAGAAGAACAGTAGTTTAAGATTAGTGACGGATTTCCGTAAACTAAACGCAATCACGGTTAAGGAAACTTTTCCTTTCCCAAATGTAAAGGATCAGTTAGTTGGACTAAAAGATGCAACAGTGTTTACGCAGATCGATTTGGACAAAGGATTTTACCAGATCAAACTAGCAAAGCAGGACAAACACAAAACAGGATTTGTATTACCGTTTGGACACTTCCAATATCGAAGAGTACCATTTGGAATGGCAAATAGCCCACGTTCCTTCCAACGCGCAATGGAAGAAATGATAGGAGATCTAGAGTTTGTTAAGATATTTGTGGATGATATCTTAGTCTTTAGCAGGAACACAGAAGAACACAGTAAACACGTACGCACCGTTCTGACTAGACTCAATGAGAATGGGGTCAAAGTCAATTTCGCCAAAAGCAACTTTGGACAGAAAACAGTAGAATATTTAGGAATGAAGATTAGCGGAGAAGGAATAAGAGCAAATGGAGAAAAGGCAGCATTAGCACGCACTTTATCACCACCGCACAACGTCAAGGAATGTAGACGATTACTAGGGTTACTGAATTGGTTCAGAGATTTCGTACCAAAATTGAGTGAGCGCATAGCGCCTATCAGTAACAAAACCAGGAAAGAAGAAAAGCCCTTTAAATGGACTGAAGACGATGAAAGAATTCGCCAAGGAATACTGAAGGAGATCGAACAGGAAACCATGCTACATCACGTGGATCTGAACAGATCGTTCACTTTATTCACCGATGCTTCAGAGAAAGGCATTTCAGGAGTATTGATGCAAACAGGAAAAATCGTAGGGGTATTCAGCAGGAAACTCCATGATTCAGAATTGCACTATACCATAGTAGAAAAGGAACTATACGCAATAGTGAAGGCATTAGAGCACTTCAAGAAGATGGTTTGGGGTACGCCAGTTACCGTCAAAACCGACAGCCGCAATGTGAGCTGTATGAAAGAAGGAACATCGACAAGAATAGGACGATGGAACATGCTACTCAACGACTATAACCTACGAGTCGAGCACATCGAGGGGGGTAAGAACAGTCTTGCAGACTATTACAGTCGCGAGGGAGTATACGGACTAATGGAAAAACACCAGGGACACGAGGCCAGCAACGAGCTATTACGCATCTTAGCGGCACATCAAAGCACCCATGAGGAGTTCATTAAGTACCAATTGGAAGAAACCAATGAAAAAGGAGTCTTCAACGATAAGTTAGGAAGAAGACACGTACCGGACGCAGCAAGGCTAGCAGTCTTAGAACAGGTACACCGGCAAACAATGCACGGAGGAGAGAATCGAATGAGATACTCAATCGACAGATATTTACACATAGGCGAACTACAGCAAGGCCTAAAACAAGTAAACAGCGAATGCGAAGAATGCTTACGCAACAAAGTGAAGAGGACTAATTATGGAGCCGTACACACCGGAATAACAGGGTTTAGGCACAATGAAGTCATCAGCACCGATTTAATCGGGCCATACAACAAGAAGAGTGAAGGAAGCGTGAGGAAAATATGGATACTCGTAGTAATCGACTTATTCAGTCGATACGTCCACCTCAGCAAAGTCGAAAAGATCGACGGTATAACGATCGGAAAAGGATTAGAAAATGGATGGATCAAGAAATTCGGACCACCAAAGAAAATACTAACAGATAATGGATTAGGATATTCCAGCAAAGAAGTTCAACAAGTGTATGCGAGACACGGAATTGAAAGACTGCACTTAAGTCCATATAACCCACAGGGTAATGGAATAGCAGAACGCATTAATCAACTAGTGGGACTAGGAATGCGAATACATCGGTCACAGCCGATTGGAAGAACGCTAAGGACAATAGCGGAAGGACTGAACAACAGCTATAGTCGAACGACAGGTTGGTCAGCAAATGAAATGGTGTATCAATACAGCCCTTTCAATCTCACCCAAAAGGAAATCTCGATAAACCAAGGAGAAGTGAGAAAACGAATACAGAAAGCAAAAGTAGCAAGCATGGAGCAACAGAACAAGACCAGAGTAACATCCCACGAGTGGAGACTAGGGGACACTGTGATGCTTAAGACTACAGGCATGAACGGAAAGTTAGGAGAACGACAATCTGGACCTTACACCGTAATAGGATTAGGAGCTCAAGGGACGGCACTACAGGTGGAGAACCAAAGAGTGCGACGTTGGGTAAACCAGAGGTTGGCTCTGCCAGTGAGGAGGTATGATGTGGTAAAAGGGTCATGAGACCTGTCACTCATATCAATCTTTGAGCAAAATTTACCCCAAGTATGGGATATAGGAAAGATGAAGAGAGAGACAGACGGACTAATCAGTATAAGCAATACATGACAAGTCCCTACCAGATGCCAAGAGGAGATGGGAACAGACACAGTCATTATAATAAAGAAGTGACAGCGTTTGACCCGTTTTACCTCAGATTTAACCCCTTCACTAAGAAAAAACTCAAGACTTAATTTGCTGCACACACAAGCATGATCACTGATTAAGAAAATACGACAGCGTAGAACCCACACAATCAGGTACATGCGAACAGGATGTCATAGTACGACCGTTATTCATCAACACTAAGATTGATCTGAAATGAAATTCCTGAGTATAAAAGGAAAATTTTAAATAAAACCCATCGATGTCTAAATCGTTTTCAAGTTCATCTCCCGTTCCGAGCAGTTACCAATGTTGGTATCGGGTGACGCCTCGGTAGGGACTGGCTTAGTTTTAGCATTATTGAAAGCGTTGGATTTACTTATAGAAACGTTGGGTTTCTCCAGTCTGTTTGTCAATATAGTTTATTGGTGAACAAAGTATATTGATCTAACTTTCTTGCAGCCTGCAGTAGTATAATATGTGTTGGATATGATAATCCGAAACACAATGAAACATATCATAAATACTTAACTCTGAATGAAACGTTCTAGTGCATCTTATAGCAAATCCAACCGTTGACATCTAATATTCTGAACAACCCAATATAGGGTTGTCTAGCTCATGTTTTTTTCTTGACATGTACATAAACAATAGAAGTTGTTCTTCTTGTTCCAACTAGCACAACTTCTATTGCACTACAGCTCCTGAATGTAGTCCAGGATCGTACCACGGTCAGCAGTCTTGGTTGATCCAAATGGATTAAGATCAAAAACTACCACATGGGGCATTAATTGTAGGTTGGAGTGGTACAAATGATTGATGGAGTGGCCGGCCTTCCGAATGATAAATTATAACGAGTACCATTTATGGATATGAAGAATATTGCTCAGTATCTGATGCACACGTTCCACAATTGTTTGTTGGGTTTGCCGTTTGATTGATGGTGTGCTGATGATCTAATATTTGCTTAAAGGTGCTAGAGACGAAAGTGTGCCTCTATCGGTTGCAACCTTAGTTGGGAATGGATAATTAAGCAGCCACTGGAACATGATTTGCTCCGTGATATGTACTCCTATTTGTTCTTCTAAAGGAAAGAGCTGTGTAAACTTAGAAAAGCTGTCTACGATAGACAGAACGAAAACCTTGGATACAGATGTCTCGCTTGGATAGGGATAAAACCTCGTGTCTATTGGCCCACATGTGTCGAAGTGGATGGTTTGGAAAGGTTCCTCGGCGAGCAGCCGACCCTGAATGTAACCACATTGCTTCTTTCTGCACTTACAGCTGGCATGATGAACATTGCTTGGTAAATTCCTCTACAAGGGACTTTAGTTTAGGATTTAAACGAATGGTTTCAGGATGTAGTACAGTCGTTGGATTCCGGGATGCATTAGTTCCTAACGGTAGGTTTCAATTAGTTGCAGTAAGTCATCTTCAGTAGCGGGATCTGTGATCCGTGCGTACAAGGTCCTGGGCAGAGAGTCGGCCAACTGGTTCTCCGACCCAGCAATATGTTGTATCTTGATGTTAAACTCTACCATCAAAAGACTCCAACGTTGGCAACGTTGCAAATTAGATGAGTCCAGGTAAAGCAGATTGGCGTGGTCAGTGTATAGGGCGACCTCTTGATTGTAAATGAGTTCTTTGAAGTTTCTTAATGATTCCAGAATTGCAAGGCACTCTTTTTAGGCCACTGTATACACTCTGATACAAAAGTATTGAGGCAAAAGTTAAAATGTGTATCTTAAGTAGTTTTGAGTTATGTCTATATGTTATTACTACCTATTAACAACAATTTTACCTGGATCGTTCAGTACAAAGAGACAGAAAATCATATTACACTACTCGACATAAATATAGAAAATCGTGGGAAAGTAGCATTGTCTTAATAAAAGATTGTTTGTTAGTACGATTCTTGCTGTTTTATACCATACCAAGAGGAAAACAGCTCACAGCAGAGCAGCAATACGCGATTTATTTGCTTGTAAAATGGAAGGTTCCAGCAAAGGAAATAACCGTGGCAGTCAGATGCAGCACTTCCCAGGTGTACAAATACCTGGCCAATATGGATGGTTACTGTCTCAAGAAGCATCCAGGAAGACCAAAAAAATTTTCTAAGCGTATTCGACGTAATATGGACCAAAAGGCTAAAATCCGTCAGGCCACAAGTAGAACAATCTTGAGTGAATTCGAGTTAAATGTTTCTATTCGGACCGTTTCGAGAGGACTGAACGAGGAAGGACTGAAACACGTTAAGATGAAGGCAACTCCGAACATGACGGAGAATCATATATTCAAACGTCTGGATTCTGCCGAAAGTCATTTGGCCTGGAACCTGGAATGGAACCGTGTAGTCTGGTCTGATGAGAGGAGATTCACATTGGACGGTCTAGATCGCAACCACTACTGATGGGCTGACACAAAAGGCGAGAGACTGACTTTTCGGAAACGTCAGGCAGGCGGTGGTTCCGTTATATTTTGGATTGGTTTCTACTGGTCTAAAAACCCGATATTACATTCATTGATCAAACAATGAATGTAGTAAGGTACAAAGAGATGTTGAGAGATGTCTTGCTCCCATTCATCAGGTCTGAACCTGATGAGTTAATCTTGATGCAGGACAATGCCTCGGTACACACTGCCGGAAAATGATGGATTGGTTTGATGAGAATGGTATTGTTGTGCTCGAATGGCCTACCTGCTCACCAGACTGCAATCCAATCGAGGACCTGTGGTCCATTCTTTCTAAGGAGATCTACAAGGAAGGAAAAATGTTCAAAATAAAAAAGGATCTCAAGCAGGGAATAAGAGATGTGTGGGAAAACATCACATCTGAACACTATCTAGTTTGTCAGGTTCGATGCAGAAAAGGATGATTGAGATCGTGAAATCACGTGGAAATAAGATTAAATACTGATTCTCTATATTTATGACACGCTATTTTAGCCAAAAACATTTTTTGTAAGGTATAATATCAATAGTAGCATGGCACCAAAAGGCAATACAATATTAATAAATGCTACCTGAAATATGATAACGAAGATACCTTTCATCAGCTCTGAATACGTGTGTTTTGCGTTTACACGATTCCCTATATTTATGTCGAGCAATGTATACTTGATTAAATTCAAAGCCAATATTGATACCAATATCAAGGCTGAGAAGGTAGAAAGGGATTTGATAGTTTAGCACAAGATTTATAAGCCATATTCAAGGTCTACGAAAGGGTTCGAGTCGTTCGACTAAGTTTATTAAACGATTTTTGGAAATCAGTAAATGAAAAGCAATCGATTAAATACACATTCACACTGGAACTAGGTAGTGATGTATCGTACCTAATTGTTCATCGTGTCTTAGTCATCTCTGGGTGGTGTACCTGGTCCAAACTCAATTATTTGCTATTGCTGCCTGATATCAAAAAAACATGTTCGTTTAACGTTTGTTCATAATCCCTGATATCATGTTTCTGAATAAAATTAGGTGTTCTAGATGAAGAAAACGCTTTAAAAACAACAAAAGCGTTGTTATTCAACATCACAATCATGTTTTTCTCAACAAAATCATATTTATTTACTAAAGAAATGTAGTATTTCGAATATTTTAATCTTTTTTGTTAGTAGTAATTCAGATGCAATATTCCTGAAGTTTATTGATATCACAATGACTTATAATATTTATATATAACTTATATAGCATGCCATTGCCTCGTTTATCATTATAAAACCTTATCAACACAAAAATAAGTATGATAACAATCTGCCAAAAATACATGAAAATATAAGAATACATGTGAAAGAATAGGTAGTGCAGTGATAGATAAGTCTTTAGCATCATCTAACTAACAATGTATATGGTTAGATGACCACTATGATATGAAATAACAGTAAACTTTATGAATTAATCAATCAGGTAAAAGTTGTGATTAAGGAACGCTTCAATGTAATCCGAGTTACATTAAGTATAAACAGGTTGTTTTGATATAGAACACCATCTAAGAAGCGATCAAAATCCCGAAAAGAATATTAAATATTGAGTCTCAATAATTTGTAACAGAGTGTAACAGAAAACAATATGGGTGATCAATCAGTCAAAAGATGCGATAAATGAATATTTTGATATAGTACACACTACATAAACTAGTTGATTAGATATAAAAAAAGCCTGTATGAAGCGAACACGAACCTGAAAAATCCTAAACATGCAAACCCTTGTCAAGTAAATTCCTGCAACGAAAAAGATATTCAGACACAAAAGTGTTGTCGTTTCCCTGAGGGTCAGGCTTGTCAGCCATGTTCTCCTCTATTTTACGTTCATTACTCTTCTTAGTTGTAAGCATTTACTTGATGATGGGTCTTTTTGCACCCTTTCTATTTCTATTTAACATTTGTTTGATCAGTCATCAAATCATTGTTTGCTTGACACTCTCAAACGAATCACATGTTGTCCCGGCAACAAAAAGCAAGATCATTCAATAGCATAACACAATACCGTATTTTATTCAACCTGATTCAAATAACCTGAATAGCATTTAATAATTCATAAAGGGGCCCCCTTGCATGAATTTTCCAATTGGATTTCTATTTCTACTAGGTCATTACTGTGCTTATGATCTCCAAATTCGCCTTGATTACAACATAGATGATCTATACATCAGCTCTGCCACACCTGGGATCACCCTAAGATTGATGGATGAGAGAAGAATACCCGGGTTTGATGAATTTGTTAAAAAAAACTTCCCAAATGCATTAGTGAGTTCATTTGCAAACAGATACGCTATAAACATACTCAATGACTACCAAGTAGCCCTTGAATTTGGTAGAAGAGACTATTTTGATCAGAACCAGGAAGACATTAGGAAACTGTACATATATATTGAAAACAACAGGGCAAATGTTGAGTTATTTGGCTTATTATCTAACTACAGAATAGTTTCTGACTATAGACGGATGACATACGATACACTGGTTGACAATAGAGAGCTAGCCATAAAAGTGCAGTCAGATCAGACCTGTTTGAACTGTATTCTGATTGAGGCAGTGAAACGAATGGGGAGTGATATCTACTTGTTAGAATTGGAGGATGGAATAGGAACTCACTTCTATGCTCCTTGTCACGTAATCAAACACAGTGCAACCCTGAATCACTCAATCAAAATAAGGAACAACTCTACCAAATTTAACAGTATTAAAATCAGTAGGTTAAATAACGTAGCTGGACAGAGAATGAATCTGGAAGAATACGACATTCTGGCTGCACACGCCGGTCACGAACGAGCCGCTGGATTAATTGCAGTAACAAAGGACATGGAGGTTGATGTTTTTCAGAAGTTTGTAAATATCACTGTTAATGTAGAAGACTATACCATAAAAAGAACTATACTGAAATTAC